AGAAAGGATTGTTTGCTTTTACAAAATCCCAGGCGTTATCTTTTAATCTTGCGGCTTGAAATTCTCATATCTATGGTCAGCAAGACCTAAAGTTCAATAGTTTTTCAAGAATTCAAAATAGGCATAACTTTTACAAGTGACAATGCCAAAGAGTCTGACACGTAAAAATAATCAATATTACTAGATATAACCCGTCGCTTCGCTGAAGGTGTTAAGATAAAATATATATATTTATATAATTTAATAGACATGTATATCTAAGAAATTTCATGTACAGTCAAAACGCGACATAGGTATATACATGGGTGCCTAAATTCGGAATGATTTACGGCTTTACGGCATTTTTTAAATTTCGGCATGCTGCTTCAAAATGCCTAAATGCCGAAAATATTACGGCTGCCGAAAATATTTTCGGCTACCGTAATTATTTTCGGTTGCCGTAATTATTTTCGGCTGCCGTAATGGTTTCGGCTGCCGTAATTGTTTCGGCTGCCGTAATGGTTTCGGCTGCCGTAATTGTTTCGGCTGCTGTAATTGTTTCGGCTGCCGTAATTATTTTCGGCTGCTGAAATTATTTCGGTTGTCGAAAATATAAATTCATAATTTATTACAGCTACTTGCACTCCACGAGACCATAGTAAAAAAAATGAAATTAAAGAAGGAAGCATACCAGTATATAGAAAACAAAATATTTAGAGCTCTTATAAGCCGGGACCAAATTATGTCATGTACTTAGAAAGGGTTCACATAGTAGGTGCGACTGTATCGTAATTCGCCATGCAAGACACCCGCATACGGTGGCGGTGGTAAAAAATTGGTTGTATTCCGGATACATTGTATGGTGGAGGGTACATTATTTGGGGTACTTTGTGAGGATGATATATTAGCTTATCAGAGGGTCATCTAAAGCAATGTCAAATCACGTGAGATAGAGCCAATAAAGTTGATTGTTTTGATCGACACGGATCAATACGAAGAGAAAAAACAACGAAAAGTAAAAAAAAAAAAAAAACGCAAAAAATACAAGAAACGAGTGCCTAAATTTATCTCGAGGCATTAATAAAAATGCCGGAAAGGCAATTTTGCTACAAGATATATCCTAACTCTAACCCCAAACTAACTCTTACAATAATTTTAATTAAATAGTCAAAAAAATATGACTGGACACGGCTTTAAGCGTCCCCTTATTAGAAAAAAAAATATACTGTATATTATTAAATTGGTCATTGATCTGTACCCGGCTATCTTAAAAAACGTCACAACAAATAAATAAGGAGGATTTATAGAAGACCTGCTAACGTCTAAGTGTTTAGCAATTTTTTCTAATTGATAAGTCTTCTAAATTTTTTGAGATATACGTACGTACGTACAACTATACGTAATATTTACATTAGGCACCAGATCTTAATTTAAATGTATCAATCTAAAGTCTAGGCGGCCGCTATACATACCCCAATTTTGCTATTCGTACCCCCACCTATAGTTGGTGGTAGAATTAATTTGGTAAATTAATACGGCAACGGCATGTGCAGTATTATTTGCCGTATTCGGTGCCGTAATGCCGTAATGCCGTAACTGATCTAGCGTTGCCAACCTAAAAAATTTTGCTAAAAAATTCGCTGTTAGATTAAGGTTAGGTTTTGCCATTAATTTATATTGAAAGAACCTCCATAGTACCAAAATTTCACAAGGAAAACTTTTTGTTGGTGCGCAGAAGGTGGTTTCATAGACTAAATGTTGAGTTATGGGCGATTTTTTGGTTTGTTTTGATTCTTTGCATTTCTTCTGCGTCACACCTGATCTTGAAATCTGATTTGCCAGTGAAATTTTTAGGTTGGCAACGCTAGACACTTTAATGCCATTAGAAAGTATTTCAACCATGAAAAAAAATTACTAATTAGATAAATACCTTTCAGCCATGGTTCTCTATCATTTTCCCGACAAACGCTTTCCAAACAAACAAATCTCGACATGAATTGATCGTAACTAACACCAACCCTAATCTAATACAGGCTAGCTTGTCATGATTTTGATATTATTAGGAAAGTGGTTGTTGGGAAAATGATAGGATCTCTTCAGCCATTATGCATTCGATGTTTGTAAAGTTGTACATATGCAAATTGCATGTTATGGCTATATTGTATATGGCTAAAAGATTAAATATTTACCATCATTGGTGCTGTTACGCAACAAAGTTTCATAATTAAACTTTCGCTTGTATAACATATATATTTTGGCGTGTAATCTTATAATTGTCTATGCAAAGTTTATAGTCGTAAAGCATACTTTAATTAGACTTTATATTGTTATACTACATATCTGTAAATAGTATATAGCTTATTTAGAGTCGATTTGTGGATATATATAGAGAGTTTAGTATTTTAGTTCTTTAATCAGTTCTTTAGTTTGGGAGTTAGAGATTTGGATATTAGTACTTTGGAAAGGTTCTTAGTATACCGGGTATACTTGTTGGGATATAATATTTGTTAATTTTAGTGTCTGGGACACAATAAAGAGTTATTGGTTTAGTACTTTTTGGTGCCTTTGTGTGTGTTAATAAATAATCGGTTTCTAATTTTAATGCTTACAACCCTAAGCTAAATTGGCTCAGCCGATATA